ATTTTTTAAATACACTGATGTAGAACTGTTTGAGTTCCTGAGTTCGAGACTAGCCTGGGCGACACAGTGAGACTCCCACGGGAAGCGGGGAAGCGGGGAAGGGGGGAAGGGGGGAAGGGAAAAATACACTGAGGTACACTACAAAAAATACTGTCAGAATCACCGGGTGCAGTGGCTCACCCCTGTAATCCCAGCACTTTGGGAGGCCAAGTCAGGCGGATCACCTGAGGTCGAGAGTTCAAGACCAGCCTTGCCAACATGGAGAAACCCCATTTCTACTAATAAAAATACAAAATTAGCCAGGCGTGGTGGCACTTGCCTATAATCCCAGCTACTCAGGAGGCTAGGCAGGAGAATCACTTGAACCTAGGAGGCGGAGGTTTCGGTGAGCCGAGATCCTGCCATTGTACTCCAGCCTGGGCAACAAGAGCAAAACTCCATCTCAAAAAAATAAAAAATAAAAATAAATAAAATACTGTCAGAATCATAGCAATAATTACATTATCTATGAAATGGAAAATTTCTCTCTGCTTATCTCTTTCCTCTCTTCAGGATATTAGCGAGAAGAAAACAATTGTTAAGATATAAGACAATTTTGTTCCTTCCCCTGCGATCATAACATACCTGGCAGATCCCAATACAGGCCCCACTCCTTGCAGTTATTTTTACAACTCTGAGGCTAAGCTTCAGAAAAGTCTTTATAAAAAAAAACTCAGCAGAACTGCCAGAAGCCAGCAGCCCCTCTTTCAACCAAGTTGTCAAAGAGCCTCCTGGCAAACATACTTACCTGATATTCTAATAATGCTGCTTCAACCCAAATCCTTTACAAAAATCCTCAATTACACTTCACCAGCAAAAAGACTTATGAAAGACATACTCTATAGGAATTATTTTCCAAATGGTTTCTACTTGAATGTAAGCTCTGCTCCACAACTTACTATCCAGTAAGGCCAACTGGTAAATTATGAACAAAAACCAAAACAAGTTTTAAAAAAAAAAAAAAAAAAGGTAGGTAGTTTGCCTACATAGCTGCTTTTATATAAAGCAAACACAACAGATTTTGGTAGGAAAATTAAGTGCCCATTTTGTCACACAGATAGTTCAAATGAACTGTTTTTGATTATTTGCCTTCTGTTCCTATTCACTGGTATATACACTGATGAGAAAATTAAATGAACAGCCACCATACGGTCCCAAAAAGAACACGAAGAAGTCAAATACAACACCGCACCCCCTGCAGAATTTATATAGCCTATTTGTGATTAAGAAAAACTACGGTGATTTTACATGGACTGTTAACTTTTATTGATTTGGGGTTTGTTAACCTAAATAGAACCACGGTAAACATATCATCTTTTTCTCAAAGTAATAACAGTACGCATCCCAGCAGATATTCAATCTCCAACTCACTGGTTATTCCCCATAATGTGTTTTCATAACAATAAATCTGTTCGATTTATGACATGGGTCAGCTTGTAATCCTTAAATTTGTCTCTAAACAACCAATACAAATACACACTGTGACTAGATTCCTACTGTCAAAGGGCAAAATTAAAGGATTCAACAGTGTAGTCCGCAGTGGAATTTCAGTCATGAAGATTCTACTACTTCTCTAAGATGCCCATTAATGCCAGGAGAAGCATCTGAAGAATCACATACCCTTGGAAAGAAAACCCTCTCCCTGGTAAGAGGAGAAGCTGGGTTAGTATGTATTCCTAAAACCTTAAGAACAGAAGAATACCAGAGCAATGATATTTTAACCAGAGCAGGGTGGTAAGGACTAATCACACACATAAGGTTAGTCTCACACTGCAACCACCCTCTCCAGTGAGGCACAGTGAAATTTACTGGTCAATAAAGTAATTTTATTCTTTCTTTTTGTTATCCTGTTTTCTTTTCCTTAAAGTGTGTATGTCATGGTTTAAGACCTAATAAACTAGTAGGGGTGTATGTGCCAACACTCTTCATTGCCATCTTTCTATCTTTGACAATGGCAAATTTGAAACGTTATAGAAACCTGATCCTAAATATAAAAAATACTAAGCAGTTTCAACTCATGGAATGCAGAATTATACTTGGTTTTTACCAATTTACTATGTGGCATATGACAAGAACTTTATCTAGAATAATACTGAATCGTTGGGATTTTTTATTATTATTATTATTTGAGACAGAGTCTCACTCTGTCACCCAAGCTGGAGTGTAGTGGCACATTCTCAGTTCACTACAGCCTCCACTTCCTATGATTCTCATGCCTCAGCCTCCCGAGTAGCTGGAACCACAGACACAGACCACCATGTCCAGCTAATTTTTGTATTTTTAGTAGATACATGGTTTTACCATGTTAGCCAGGCTGGTCTCAAACTACTGATATCAAGTGATCTGCCTGCCTTTGCTTCCCAAAGTAATTACAGGTGTGAGCCACCTCACTGGCCCAAATCTCTGGGATTTTAGCCTCAGCATTAAAGAAGTATCATTTAAGAAATTTGTAGGGTGATATCCATCTGACAATGGACTAATATTCAGACTATACAAGGAACCAAAACAACTCGACAGCCAAAAATTAAATAATCCCATTAAAAAGTGGGTAAACAGCTTGGGGACAGTAGCTCATACCTGTAATCCCTGAGCTTTGGGAGGCTGAGGTAGGACAGCTTGAGGACAGGAATTCAAGACCAACCTGGGCAACACTCCAAGACTCCAACTCTAAAAGAATATTTTTTTCTTTAAATTAGCCAGGCATGTGGGCCCCAGCTGCTCAAAAAGCTGAGGCGAAAGAATCACTTGAGCCCAGGAGTTCAAGGTTACAGTAAGTTATGATCATGCAACTGCACTCCAGCCTGGGGAACAGAGTGAGAGACCGTCTCTTAAGAGGNAAAAAAAAAAAAAAAGTAGACAAAAGATCTAAAAAGACAATATACAAATGGCCAAAAGATATACAAAAAAATGCTCATCAGTAAACATCAATAAAATGCAAATGAAAACCACAATGAGATACCATCTTACGCCAGTTAGAACAGCTACTATCAAAAAGACAAAAAATAGCTTGCAACCCAACTAATGAGGTGGCTGAGGCAGGGAGACTGCCTGAACCCAGGAGTTCAAGACTACAGTGGGCTATGATCATGGCACTCCATCTAATTAATTAATTAACCAAATCAATTAAACACATGCAGGAAAAAGGGAACTTTCATACACTATTGGTAGGAATATAAACTGGTATAGTCATTTTCAAAAATAGTATGGAGATTTATCAAAAACAAAAAATTAAATTGCCATATGATCCAGCAATCCCATTACTGGCTACTTATAAAAAGAAAAGGAAACCAGTATGCCAATAAGATACATACACCCCCACGATTACTGAAGCACTATTCACAATATTCACAAATAAAGGGAATCAACCTAAGTGTTCATCAGCAGATGTATGGATTTTAAAAAGTGATATATTTGCACTTTGGAATACTATTCAGCCATTAAAAAAGGAGGAAATCATGTCCTTTGGGGCAACATGAATGGACCTAGAAGACATCGTGTTAAATAAACCAGACACAGAAGACAATCACAGGTACTCACTCATGTAAGAGCTAACAAAGTTGTCTCATGCAGGTAGACAGTGGAATGATAGTTCCCAGAGGCAGAGAAGGTGATGGGTACAGAGGGTAGGGAATGAAATGAGATTGGTGGTAGGTTAAAACACAGTTAGAGAGAAGGAATAAATTCTAGGCCAGGCTCAGTGGCTCATGCCTGCAATCCTACCACTTTGATAGGATTACAGGTGGATCACTTGAAGCCAAGAGTTCGAGACCAGCCTGGCCAACATGGTGAAACCCCATCTCTACCAAAAATAGAAAAATTAGCTGGGCATGGTGGCATGCACCTGTAGCCTCACCTAGTGGGAGGATTGTCTGAGTCCAGGAGGTGGAGGTTGCAGTGAGCTGAGATGGTGCCACTGCACTCCAGCCTGGGCAACAGAATGAAACCTTGTCTCAAAAAAAAGGAGTAAGTTCTAATGTTCAACAGTAGAGTAAGGTGACCACTTAACAATTACGTATTATACATTTCAAAATGATAAATGCTAATGGTGATGGATAACCTAAATACCCCAACTTAATAATTATATATTCTATGCATGTAATGAAGTACCGGATATACCCCAAAAATGTGTTTAAATATTATCTATCAGTAAAAAGCTAAAAATTAAAAAAATTTAAGAAGAGAAATTGCCACAGCCACCCCCAAACTGGCAACCACCACCACTACCATCAAGGCAAGGCCTGCCCCCCTAGCAAAACGACTACAAGAGCCTGAAGACTCAAGTGATCGTAACTTTTTGTTTCTTTGTTTGTTTTAGCAATAAAGTATTTTAAAATTAAGGTTTAAAAAAACGCCATTGCACTGTATTCCAAATGTAATACAATTATAATTTGTCAATGCTTTTGGTTAGAGCTTTAAGTTTTAAATTATTCATAAAAAGGGCTTTCTCAGGCCGGGCGCGGTGGCTCAAGCCTGTAATCCCAGCACTGTGGGAGGCCGAGGCGGGTGGATCACGAGGTCAAGAGATCGAGACCATCTTGGTCAACATGGTGAAACCCGTCTCTAAAAAAAATACAAAAAATTAGCTGGGCATGGTGGCGCGTGCCTGTAATCCCAGCGACTCAGGAGGCTGAGGCAGGAGAATTGCCTGAACCCGGGAGGCGGAGGGTGCGGTGAGCCGAGATCGCGCCATTGCACTCCAGCCTGGGTAACAAGAGCGAAACTCCGTCTCAAAAAAAAAAAAAAAGGGCTTTCTCAGCTCATCCAAAAACAACCCTTGGATTTCTTCAAAACTACATAATACAAAATAGTTTATTTACAGGATCAATAAACAAATGATCAGATTTTAGATGACCTACCATCCTTTCAGAGCACACTGCCAACCCTAGTAAGAGTCCAGCAAAGCAAATGCCCGCTTGTTTCCGTAGAATGAAAGCATTTTCTTCTCTCTTACTCTAGCTTACCTCTACCTCGGACTCGCTTGCCACGATCTGAAGGCCTGTCCACTTGATTGGAATCAATTCCATTTTCTTCACCTCTAACTAAGAGAAAAAGAGCAGAAAAATAAATTTCCATTTCCAAACCTCTTGTATATAACCTTACCAAGCAACTATTAAATGCAAAGAAGGAATGCCAAACAGGCTACAATTTAAACACGTTCAGAAATAGGAAAAACAGACACAAAAGTGACTTAAAAACTGAATGAGGTCAGGCACAGTGGCTTTCGCTTGTAATTCTGGTATTTGTAATTTCCAGCTGAGAGGGCCGATCTCTTGAGCCCAAGAGCTTCAGATCAGACTGGGTACCATACAAAAAAACTACAAAAATTGGCCAGGCACAGTAGCTCACGCCTGTAATCCCAGCACTTTGGGAGGCTGAGGCAGGCAGATCACTTAAGGCCAGGAGTTTGAGACCAGCCTGGCTAACACAAAGAAACCCCATCTCTATCAAAAAACACAAAATTTAGCTAGGCATGGTGGCACACACCTATAGTCCCAGCTACTCGGGAGGCTGAGGCAGGAGAATTGCTTGGACCCAAGAGGTGGAGGATGCAGTGAGCTAAAATCTCCTCACTGCACTCTAGCCTGAGCAAATGAGCAAGACTCTGTCTCAGAAAAAATACAAAATATAAAAATTAGCCAGGCGTGGTCATGATGGTGTGCACTTAGTAGTCCCAGCGACTCAGGAGGCTGAGGTAGGAGGATCACCTGAGCCCAGGAAGGTCAAGGCTGCAGTGAGCTGTGATCACACCACTGCACTTCAGCCTGGCTAAGACCTTGTCTCAAAAAAAATTTTTTTTAAATAATGAAATCACATCTTCCTTAATTCACATGAAAATTCATAAAAGATACTAAAATAACATACTGATTTTTCTTTCTTCTTGGTGGACTTGCCCTCTCCTAAAGTTTTTGCTTCAAAAAAACTACCACCATTATGCAACTACATAATACATCACAGAATTTACTCATTAGTTAGGTCCAAAGCCTGGAAAGGCACAGAATAGCAAAACAGCTAGCAAGGAAACACTGAGTTCTTAGAAAAACTAAAGTTGGGATTTTCTAGGATACTAACCAGAAGATGCCAACACGCAGTCTTTTCTTTTTCTCATCCCTATATTGACATTAATCGCCCTACATAATACAGAAATTTTATGAAGGATATTGGCATGGCTTGCTCCCGTTACCTCTTTCAGAGGTTGACTCACATGAATTCCAGTGAGACTTTCCTTGGCAATCCACTTAAATTGGCCGGACTTCTTCCCACAATTTGCATCTCTCTTGGTTTTCCCTATGGCATAATTTCTATATAACACCATTAAAATATTAATATAAAATATTTTATCTTGTTATGTCCCATTTGACCTTCACTGAAAGGTAAGTTTTAGAAGGGCAAAGATTTTATCGATTTTATTCATTGCTGTATGCCTATAAAAGTATCCACCACATAGCAAATACTCAATAAATATCGGTGGTATATATGAGACAGCAAGAGATATGTTAAATATTTACATTTTATTCTTTCATAACTTAACTACATTAACACATTGCCAGAGCAGGCAGGGCTGTTTTGCATGAACAGTGACAAAACCTAGAAAACCTAGGGCTAATGGAAATGAGACCTGCCTATGAGAAATCCTGCCTATTCAGCAACTTTCCTCTTACTCTAACCCTTGTCTATACCATGAGTATCCATAAATGGAAGAAAAAAACAGCTTCACCTATCTGTAAGTAAATGACCCCTGACCCTTTCCTCACCAGACACACACCATTCTAAAATTAGCAAACGAGTTTGACTCATAACAGAAGGCAGTCATAAGACACACTACCCAACCACCTGCCTACAGCCCAGGTCAATGCTAACATGAAACCATATAAGAGGCTCTATGAAAATACTCAGTTGCCACTCATTTCTGGTGTTAACTATTAGAACAAATTCTGCATTGAGGAAACAAATTCATAGGCATGCTATGGACTAATCTTTCAGTTGTTCAGAATATATAAAAACTCCTAAGAAAAAAACAGAAACCTGAGCACAGTGGCTCATGCCTGTAATCCCAACACACTCGGAGGCTGAGGCGAGACAATCACTTGAGGAGAGAGAAGAGAAGAGAAAAAACTGAGTGGAAAGTCTGTACTTACATTCTCTGCCACGATTGCCACCTCTTCCTTTCCGGTTGTTGTTTCCACGTCCACGAACTGATTCTTTCTCGCTTTTCTTCTCTCTATTCTCTTTGTTTTCTGAATTTTCTTTTGCAAAATTCTTCTTCTTCCCCACTACAGTCTCCCATGAAGTCTATCAGAGAGAACAGCTGTTACTCAGTTATCATTAAAAGTATGTATAATTAGGCCGGGCGCGGTGGCTCAAACCTGTAATCCCAGCACTTTGGGAGGCAGAGGCGGGTGGATCACGAGGTCAAGAGATCGAGACCATCCTGGTCAACATAATGAAACCTCATCTCTACTAAAAATACAAAATTTAGAGCCGGGCGCGGTGGCTCACGCCTGT